ACCATATCAATGCGCCAGCGGACAAAACGTTTGTCAGATTACTGCAGCCATCCACCTCATTGATACCGTCGACGTCATCAAACCCGCGCACTTACGTCCAAGCATTTTTCTGCTCGCCCCACGCCGGCTCGTGCCCTTCTCCTAGCCTCCCATCTGGCACAGTCTCCCAGCGGGACAGCTTCCTAGTGGGCACCACCCCCCAGCGGTACCGCTCCTGACATCGTCCGTAAGATATCCCCTTCTCCGTAACAGCACTTGCTTCCGTCGCTCGATCACCATCTCTGATTCCCTGACGCTTGGTCCCTGACGCTTGGTCCCTAACGCTTGGTCCCTGACGCTCGATCCCTGGCGCTCGACCCCTGTCGGCTTACAGTGTAAGGTAGGATTAGTCTTCTGCGCTTTGTCGGATGTGGTCAGTATGGAAGCGGGAGTTTCAATGGAAGAAAATAGAGATTTGGCTCGGTCTATCGCGGCCGGGGTAGACTCTGAAGTGGAGGCTTTGCCCGTGGCGGGCGTAGTGGCACAGAACCGGGCGCCGGTTGCGTCGTGCACGCAGCCAGCCGTGCTTGTCGTTCACACTATCGTCAGTCACGACCCCACGGTGGGCGGCACGGGTCGGAGCCGGAGAAGGCGTCAGGGCGGGGGCGCAAGATAGAGCGGTTGGAGCGCAAGAGAGAGTGGACGGCTCGTGTGCGCTGGATACCTTAGAGGAAGGAGTGGCATTTCCCGCGGTGTACGGAAAGGCAACAGTCGAGGGGGTTCCTTTGCTCACGTCTGGGCCTAAAACGGACTTGACACAAGAGGAACCGACCAGCTCTCGAGCCTTTCGAACCGCTTGCTCCGCAACATCGCCCAATCCCATGTACCCCTTGTGCTGAGACTGGATTATCAACTTAATTAGCTCGCATCCTCTGGGTTGGGGCACGGGGGCTTCCTTGCCGACGTCTGTGGAGGAGCCGAGTAGCTCTCGAGCTCTCCGCACTGCTTCCTCTGCCACATCTCCGAGCCCTATGTAGCCCTTATGCTCGGACTGGATGACGCTCTTGATTCGGTCGCATTCTGAACGTCTGTTGGGCACCGGGAAAGCAGGAGACGGCAAGGGGGCTTCCTTGCCCGTGTCTACTTTCGAGAGGGATCCCGGATACGA